TCTGGGATTGACATTCCTGCTGGGATCAGGGAACAGCCGATCCCATGGATCCCAAATTTATGGGAATATTCCCACAGGGATCAGGGAACAGCCGATCCCATCGATCCCAGATTTATGGGAATATTCCTGGGAATTCCCACAGGGATCAGGGAACAGCCGATCCCATCGATCCCAGATTTATGGGAATATTCCCACAGGGATCAGGGAACAGCCGATCCCAATTCCCAGGAATCCCCCCGGGAATTCCCGTGGGATCAGGGAACAGCCGATCCCACTGATCCCAGATTTATGGGAATATTCCTGGGATCGACATACCTGTGGGATCAGGGCTGGGATCAGGGAACAGCCGATCCCATTGATCCCAAATTTATGGGAATATTCCTGGGAATTCCCGTGGGATCAGGGAACAGCCGATCCCAATTCCCAGGAATCCCCCCGGGAATTCCCACTGAGATCAGGGAACAGCCGATCCCAATTCCCTGGAATCCCAATTCCCAGGAATCCCCCCGGGAATTCCCGTGGGATCAGGGAACAGCCGATCCCACTGGATCGAAATTCCCAGGAATCCCCCCGGGAATTCCCGTGGGATCAGGGAACAGCCGATCCCACTGGACCCAATTCCCAGGAATCCCCCCGGGAATTCCCGTGGGATCAGGGAACAGCCAATCCCACTGAATCCCAATTCCCAGGAATCCCCCTGGGAATTCCCACCAGGATCAGGGAACAGCCGATCCCACTGGACCCAATTCCCAGGAATCCCCCCGGGAATTCCCGTGGGATCAGGGAACAGCCGATCCCAATTCCCAGGAATCCCCCTGGGAATTCCCGTGGGATCAGGGAACAGCCGATCCCAATTCATGGGAATCCCCCCGGGAATTCCCGTGGGATCAGGGAACAGCCGATCCCAATTCCCTGGAATCCCCCTGGGAATTCCCGTGGGATCAGGGAAGAGCCGATCCCATGGACCCCAATTTATGGGAATATTCCTGGGATTGACATTCCTGTGTGATCAGGGAAGAGCCGATCCCATTGATCCCAGATTTATGGGAATCTCCCTGGGATCAGGGAACAGCCGATCCCACTGAACCCAGATTTATGGGAATATTCCTGGGATCAGGGAAGAGCCGATCCCATGGATCCCAGATTTATGGGAATATTCCTGGGAATTCCCACAGGGATCAGGGAAGAGCCGATCCCATCGATCCCAGATTTATGGGAATATTCCTGGGATCAGGGAACAGCCGATCCCACTGATCCCAGATTTATGGGAATATTCCTGGGATCAACATTCCTGTGGGATCAGGGCTGGGATCAGGGAACAGCCGATCCCATTGATCCCAAATTTATGGGAATATTCCTGGGAATTCCCACCAGGATCAGGGAACAGCCGATCCCATGGATCCCAAATTTATGGGAATATTCCCACAGGGATCAGGGAACAGCCGATCCCATTGATCCCAGATTTATGGGAATATTCCTGGGATCAGGGAACAGCCGATCCCATGGGCCCCAATTCCCAGGAATCCCCCCGGGAATTCCCGTGGGATCAGGGAACAGCCGATCCCAATTCCCAGGAATCCCCCCGGGAATTCCCGTGGGATCAGGGAATTCCGCCCTCCCTGAGCTTTATTCCAGCTTTTCCCAGCCCGGGGTTGGGCCCTTCCCGCCGGACTCGTCCTCCCGGTTGGGCAGGAATTGTTTTCCTTGGAATGACGCCGGGAATGCCGGGAATGCCGGGAATGCCGGGAATGCTGGGAATGCTGGGAATGCCGGGAATGCCGGGAACGCCGGGACGTCCGGGGCGGTTCCGGCATCCGCGGCCGCTCCCACGGAATTCCCCATTCCCAAACCATTCCCAACCCATTCCCAACCCATTCCCAA